TCCAACAGGAATTATTCTGCAAATCTCATTAGAGTTGTGAACTCCTGATACATCATTCTGTCAAGCTTTCTGAAGTTTAGCAACAAAACTTTGAAACAAACACCAAGCACCCAAACAGGCTCACAATGCTATGAGATCACAAGACAATTACACACTTTTTAGATGTTTTTTATAACTAAACAATGATGTTATGGTAATACAGGTTAATTTCCATTTTATCACATTTTACACAAATTAAGTCACTTTCTCTGAGTCTCTCAGTCACCTATAAGGGCCTCTGTTACAGGTATCATATCTCAGATAATGAACTTTTAGACATCTAGCAAGAGTAAGCAGTTTCCAGCACCCATTAAGTAATAATTTAATTGATGTACTACTGTTGAATTTTGTATGTATAACTGCATTACCAACACACAAACAGTGAAGAGGATAATTCAGTATTGACACACAGCCCCCAACTCAGGAACAATTATTTAAAAATTTCTCCTGCTACAGGCCCTGTTTCCAAACCTTGTGAAGGCAGAAGAGATCGTACCACTGACTTTACTTACCTTTTACTGTAATAGCCACAACAAGAATGTTTTCATTATTACAACACTTCAACTTATGCCATCAAACTCCATAGAACCTACAGACCTGAACAGACGCCTGGATTCTCTAAACATTTTAAGGGCATATGTATGCAAGAACTTGTTTTCTACACAATACAAGTCAACAAAAACCTTTAGGTGGAACTGTCCCCCTTTTGTCCAAGGGTGACTGATTAAAATACTACCAGTCTCTAAAAAAAGGAAAAAAAAAATCATTTAACTGCAAAAATGCAGACCAAGAGGCCAAGAGAAATAATGGTGCTGTTCAATTTCTAGTACGACATCCCTCTTAATCAACAATGACCCAGAATGGCATTAGAAACCACTGGATAAAATGAAAGTGACAGAAAGGCTTGAAGCACAAAACTGTGCACTGAAGTTTTATATGTTTTACCTCCAGCTCTACTTTCTCTCCAAAGCCCGTATCCTGTGGACTTACCACTGAACAGTACTAATACAAATTCCAAATTTTCCTTCAAGAGGACAAATCCTATATTGTACATATTGTGCAGTACATGAATAATGACAAATTTCTTATCTGGGGCAGCTTGAAAAATCAGGTTAACTTGTTTGAAAGACCACCTTATTGCACTTTAAAATGCCACAGTAACTGCCATTTAAAATAAAAGGTATATGCTGTGCATACACAAGAACAAGGAAAATGCAAATTCTGGGGACAGTCATACTTTAAAAATTTCAGACAGGGATAGTCTGTACCTGCTTGTTTAGTATAATAGTAAGTACTATCATTTTCAATTAACTGTACAATGCATAATCTCTTTTGTTAAAGACGTCGTGGATAGCAGCAAAGAAGAAAATGCTGTCTGTCTTTCAGATAAAAGAACGATGAAGCTGGCTTGTTTCCCAGGATTGAATGGGAAATCCTGATTTGGAAAGCCTTCTCACATATAGAGTGGGTAGAGGGAATAAGCAAGAAGGGAGGCTGCTACACCAGTGCTAGCTGGGAGAGCTTGTGGGAATAGAAGTCTACCGTGCAGACTCAGGTTCTCTAGAACAGAACAGAAAGTTCTCTGAAAGTCCAGAGGACTGTGTGGAAGGTACTTGAACCAGAAATCCACTGAAGGTTTCTGGGGCAGGAAAACAAGGAAACAATTCATCCTGCAAAGATGCTATTTACAGGAGATGGGTTTACTTTCAAGCTTTTCTGCCCCATCCGGCTAATCCAAGTTTCCTCTAGTTAAAGAGAAGAAATTATATAAGGTTAGCAATTTCTGATACCATTCCAAAAAAATGTAGCTTTAGAAAATGGAAGTCTGTAAGTACACTCACTGTAGGGAAGATAGTGTGATAGCTTTGGCGTGAGGCACTGGCCTGACTGGCCAAAAGCATGAGGTCTTCAGGTTATCCTCAAGTTAAAAACTGCATTCCCAGCAGAAAGAGAATAATGTCATATTCTCAAACTAAGGCATCAGTCTAGCCCTGAGGAATACAGAAAGGTTTATTTATTCTACTTTCCCTTCCTCACCTTTTCCTTCTGAGAGAAAGAAAGAACATGGGGATGACATAACTGCATAGAGGTCATCAACACAGCTTTTAGAGGACCTGTGCAATAGAAGTTATTTTCTTCTAAAGTAACCATCAAAAGCAAAAAAAGAGTGATTTTTGTCAACTCAGTGGCATCTACTGGGGCTAGGGGGCAAAGCTAATGGACCCATGGGGAAGTTTAGACAGAACCTGCTTCAAGGAAAGAAAAGAAACCTTCAAAAATGCTGAGCACATGAACAGAAGTGGAAAAATGTTATGGTACTAGAGGGACACAGGGGTGCTGTGCAGCCTAAATCACTGAAACCAAGGAGAACGAAACAGGAAGTATCAGTAGTAGATCTTTCCCTCAGCTGGAAGAAAGAAAAGGCTGAGAAGCCTTTCCCTTGGGTGCACTCTTGGGAAGCAAAAAAGACTGTGTACTATTTTATGCAGACAAGGGTCCTGGAAGTCAAGTGAAAATGACTGTGATCTAACATGTGACCAGAAATGCATCTGGGCAGTGTGTTTAAGGAGAGAAAACTGGGTGTTGCATTATCTAGTAGGCCAGATTTACAATGTTTTTGAATGCAATTTAATTTTTGAAGGAGAAAAATGAATATGACTGTTGTCTCTGCCAAGGGACACATGGCACATTGCAAAAGCAACACAGAAGAAAAAAAGAAGGTCCTTTTAAAGACACGGAGCATGCCTGAAATGAAACCCAGGAAGAAGACCTCACTATAAATAATGTTGCTATGGGGATGGATCAGATAAATTATGAGAGAAGCCTCACACCAACCTTTAGCAATGTAACAACACTGTTGATAGATCTGTGTGAAAAACAAAACAGATTGGTCAATTCAGTGAAGTCTACTATGAAACTTCTGGCCATTGAGAAGAGGTTTTTTTTGTTTGTTTTGTAGCTCAGTACATGTGAGTCTGGATTTTAACAAGCTTTCTAATATATTTTCCAGATGCCTTAATACTAATGTAGGGGCTGCTTGGCAGCAGCAGAATTAGATATATCATTCTCTGGCACATTTCAGTAAAAAAATTGTCAGCTGGGGAAGGAATTACAGGACCACTGAAATGAAAGCTTTATAAAGGCATTAAAACCCCCCAATCAACTCAATTCCAGTTACGTAACTTTACTACATATACAATTGGAAAACTCTCCTTTAAAAAAGGTTGTCTTATGGGGAAAATTCCAGCTTGTAAGGCCGAGTGTGTCACCACAAGAACCTGATGCATTAATAAAAATCAGAAAGATGAAAGATAAACAGCATGTCGATTTTGCCTAGGCAGAAGGATGTTTGAACACTCATAAAGCACAAGCTCCTTTTGAGGCTACCTTTGCATAACAACAGCTAAGGCATCCTGCAATACATATACAATACACAGAAGTACAATATCAACAAAACGGATGGACTACAACATGAGTTGAAGTCCTTGACCACTGCTGATGTTTAGCATTTCTAAAAATCAGCTCTATGATAGACCCTACTTGCTAAAAAATACTAGACAGCAAGAGGAATAATGACTGCTGTTACTGTTTCTTTGAAGTTCAATGATGAAAGACAGAGAAATGAACATACAGAGATCCCAGTTGAAATGGTTCAAGTCTTATAACTCCCTTGCATATTGGCATGTTTGGACTGTTTTTAAGCTGCAGCAAATTACTATTGCAATTATGAAGTACAATTTCTCATAATCACCCTACAAATAACATAAATCATAGCAGCACTCTACAGCTATTATTAAATTACTAAAATTTATCTTAGCTATTCTGAAGTATTCTTTAAGAACTTTAAAAAATATTAAAATGTTGAGGTTGTGCAAATTTACAATCCATAATTTGACTAGTATTTTGAATGGCACATCAGATTAAGACAGCTCAATTTTAAATGTATAGTGTTACATTCCTAAATGATATTTTCAGATCTGGGAACATTAGTACAATGAGACACTCCTCCCAATATGAGAGGAGTGATTGCCTTATTTTAACAACTTACAGACCACAGCTTTAATGAAGCATTAACCCTGAGACAGCACCGGATGCAAATAACAAACATTATGATCATAGTATCTATTTATAAAATTCTGTAATTAAAAGCAGGGAAGAAATATGCTGTAATGATAACAAATCAACAAGTAAGGAAAAATTAACAGAAAATATGCTCTTAATGTACAGAAGTAGAAATAATTTGGTTAAGATTGTTGAAATAATTAAAAATCAAGGGAGTGATTATTTTTCAAAGACAGAACATGAAAATAAAAGCTCAATGACCCACAGTATTTAGATGAATTTCAGCTAAAAAAACCCAACAAATGCCTGAACAAAATAAAACATGTCCAAACCCCTGATGTGTGCTTACCATACGATCAGAATTCAGGGGCAATAATGACTTACATAAATTATTGTCCTTTTCCTTAAAAACATATTTGTTTGTGTGAAGCAAGAGTCTCCCAGTTCTCTTGCTGGAGCTACTAATCTGCCCAGTAAATTCCTGTAACCTTTTTAAAATCTTTACACCTTGTTATTTCACGATTCCAAAGTTACTTGCAATAGGTCATCTGAGGATCAGGAGGGGGTGCTCTGCTTAGATCCTTGACCTGAAAGATGCAAGTGCTACTGCCAGCCTAAGAATGAAATGCTGAAGCAGAACAAAGCCACTGCTTTTCTTACAGAGATTACAGCATGAGATATCAAGAAACATTTCATGATGTTTAATTAATTTAACAATTCCTTAATATATACTAGCAAGTTGTCATATAAAATCTGAATATGACACACTAGAGAAAGAATTAAAAAAATTGTTCTAGAAACGTGAGGATAATTTTCACTGTGCTCATTCTGCTGTGAACTGGAAAAAACAAAAAATCCCCAAACCCACAGTATATATAGGTTGTTTGGAAAGAACATACCTATTAACTCTTTATTTCTGACATCTAAGGCCATGTTTCGTAAAGCTGTAGCAACTGCACATACCACCCGGTCATTGTCTATCCGGAGCAGTTCCACCAATATCGGCAATCCTTTCTCTTTGCGGACAGCAGCGCGGATGTACACTGACCACTGTAAAGACACAGGGGAGAGAGAGTGGGAACAAAGTCAGGTATCCACCACAGACAGTGAGGCATCTGAGCTTACAACAGAGTAAGGGCTAACAGAAGCATTTGGATGCAAAATTCAAAAGAGTAGAAATAATTGCATTGATGGTGCTAGGCAACCACTTGATTTGGCAATCAGCACTCTTTTGTTTTATGGTGACAGAGAAATTAAATGATGAATTGACTTCACCGCCAGCACACCTGGTTACATTTTCACAGCCGAAGTCTGCAGATGACTTACAAAATGCTCACCAGGGTTTTGTATGCAACATTTAATGATGCTTGTTTACTGCTAAACAAACAACATTTGTTTTACAAAATATGTATTAAAAAGTAAGTTCAAGAGGTCTGAGTATTCTTTGTTGTTAACGTAAGAATTATTCAGTCTACAAACATGAAAACACTATTATCATTTCTCTTGTGATTATTAACTTGTTCAGAAGGAAAACTGAGGATAACTACATGCCTGGTTTTGGCAGCTGTAGTGATCCTAGCTGGAATACCGTTGAACATTGAAGTGTTAGCAATTCCCTCAAGAGCTGACCTGATGGGCGCCTGTGCTGTGCCTGACTGCAGGATAAACCCGGTGGCTGATTCTATCAGAGAAGCCTGTAGACATCTCCCACCTGACAGCTGGTCATGACACCACTGGAATGGCCTTGTCTTTGTATTAAAGAGAGCAATATGTTCTCATGTAAGCATCCTTTTTATTTGACAGTAGAAATGATGAATAGAGCGGTTTACTTCTAAGAAACCCTTTAGGAGCTCTAAAAATTATCATGCCAGAGAACAAGGGATCTGTGGAATGTGCAGGGAGTAGGAGGTCTATCCAGAGCTATACATCTTCGGGTTCCCAGAACATGACTGGGTGAAAGATCAGCTATACCACCCTGTTTTCCATTCCTCTGTTATCTCCAGCAGTTGCAAAACATGTAAACAAGACAGCAGCTGTGACCTTGTGGGTTTAAAGCATATGGGTACTGCCAAAGTTAAGATGTTTGGACATCTGTGGATGTACAGATCACCTCAGCATAGCCCACTTCAAACCAAGCCATCCACAGGCACATGTTTTTTTCACTTCATGATCTCTTCACTGAAATTTTCATAAAGTTCACATTCATGCCTCTTGTACTGATAGTAGAAAGAAAATTATTGAAGCAGAATGTTTCCTTCCTTTCACTGCTATGGCATGGACATTCATCTTGCCATTGTACCTGGAAGGTGAAGACAAGTTCTGGAAGGCCTTTGCTTTTGAAATATTTCAAATATTTCAGAAACTAGGATGATAAATCACAGGATTTTCTGATCTAGATGGCCCTTTTCTTTTGACAAAGACATCCCACTGTAAAGAATAATTACATTGCAATAGCATTACTCCACAGCTAGGCAGAGTAAAAACAAAAAAAGGTTAGCACATTCACTGTCAGCAGACCATCCTTAACCTCTGCATATGGCCTCTACTTGCCACAGCTGAAGAACTAACTTTAAAAGCATCTACTTATATAAGATTCATGCCCTGAATAGCAAAAACCAGAATATATATTTATGATCTAAACAGTAGATATGGAGATAGACAAGAACTACAGTGCTGTAATGTCATTCCAGGTGATACAATTCAGCGGAAATTGGGAAAAAGGAAAAAGAGAAACCAGCATTTAAAGACAACTTTTTTATTAATTCTCCTCTGTAGTAACTATGCATAACAAAAGCCAATTGGCTGGACTTTGCTGTAGACGAAAGTGATAATGGTTATGATAAGCTTTCTAGTCAGTTAAGTTAGACAAGGCGTTCTCAGCATCCCTGAGCACAATAATATGTCTAAAACATAAATGTGCTGTCATTTTGTGCAGCAAAGGAAACAGCTTAGGGGAGATAAGTGATCACAGGATTCTTGGTTGATCTTATTCTGTGCTCTCTCCTCCAGTCTCTTCCCTAGAGCCAGTGTATAGGATGACCATCAGATAAAAAAGTAAAACACATCTTAAGGATCAATGGGTTTAACAGGAAATATTTTCTGAATATTTCTTTCCTACACCTTGATTTTAATTCAATATAAAGGATTCTATGAAAACAACAAACGGATATTTCTAACTTTCCGCTTTTAATAAATATGTATTTATCTGCCAGTTAGACACATTCTCACCTGCAGCTGGGAAATGAGCAGTGCCTCCTTGCATTTAAAAAATGCTGTATTTTGTATATCTCTCCCAGGGGAAATATCTGTTGTGTCTGCTGTGATTACAAGGCGACTACCAGCATGAGAGTTCAAAGTAGCAGTGAGAATATTTTGAGAAAGAAGTGAGCCTGTCTGGTTGAGGTGAGAGTTCAAGCTAGCTGTGAGTATTCTGAAAGATGCTGTCAGTCACTGCAGAAGTACGTCACTGATGAAGCAGCTCCAAAATGGGCTACATGGTGAACCAGTGGGGGTGTTTGTTTTGAGAGAAAAAAGCTTGTCTATTCAATACCAAGGAAAATGAAAAATGATCCTTAGATTTGTGGTGGTTTTGCATTGATTGACATTTGGGGAAAAAATAAGAAAACACCCCTGGAAGTGATTTCTTTGAGAGAAGTTGCTGGGAGCTTCCTCGGTGCCTGGGACAGGCCAATACTTGGCTGTTTCTGAGAATGGATATTTTGGACCATTTAGAAATTAGATCCGCCTCTGTGAGATCCACGGTTTAAAAACCACAAACCCGGGAACTCTCTTTTTTCTCTTCCGGCCTCGAAAGGTAACGGGGCTCTGGTGGGGGCTGGCCCCACTCCCCTGCGGCCTGGGGGAGGCCCGGTCGGACCCCAGCAGCTCCCGAGCCGGGGATGGAGGCTGGGGATGGGGGCCAGCCTGGGCCAGGCCACGGCTACTGACATCTCACCCACACTAAGCCCCCCCTACCCCGGCCTGTACTGACAGCTCCAGGCCAAGCACCCCCCTCCAAGTGGCTGCTGGGCGGACGGAGGGGCCCAGAGTGGCCGGAAATCCAACACCATGACTGCTGCAGCCACTGCCTACAACTATCTGCAGGCCTGGCAAGATTCAACCCTTTCAGTGCTCAGACGAGACCTCCAGACCACTATTCTCTCCTCAAGAGAAAAAGACAAAGTAGAGACATAGAAAACAACATGAAAACACTGAGGTCAGTAAAGAAAGAGTCAAGCCCTAGACAGAAGATGAATGAAGAGGTTAGCATTGGCTTGAAATATTCTTTTGGTAGGGCCATAAAGATGAACAACGATATACTGAAATATCTCCTTTAATTCATGAAAGAATAGGGGGGGGATGAAGTATTCAAATTGTAGATGTGAGCAAAGGCATCCATTGATAAAGCTAAGCAGATACTGAAGTTGTTGTGATCCCATGAGACGCTTGAACAGAGAGAGACATGAGAGTGATGAAGACCCTTTGCCTCCAGGGAAAGAAGAAAACCTCTATTCCCAGAGATGATTACAGAGACAGATGAAGAGAACCTTTGCCTTTGAACAACTCAAAATAATACTCCATGAGTTCATGGCCCATGGACACACCTGTAGTAGGGCTGTGAGAATGGGAGGAAGTGTCACGATGCAGAATTTTTGCACAGGCGACTGCTATTTATGGAAATGAAAAGCCACAAGAAAACTGTTTCTTGTGGAGAAGTCTCCGTGGCATGGCAAGAGAAAACTCCTCTCCCTACAAGAACTGATGAAAGACTATTGTATAGTTGGTATCTGATCTAACATCCCAAGTTTTGTCTCTATGCTGTCAGTTGGGGAAGGAAAAATGTTAGACAAGGAGAGGAAAGGTATTTTGGAATATTTATTCTGATGCTTCTTATTCTTGCAGTTCTATTAATAAAGTTTCTTTATACCTTTTAAGTTTTGAAATTGTTTTGCCCTTCTCCTAATCCATATCTCACAGCAAGAAATGAGTAAGTGCACTGGTGATTTTAGCCAGTGCTAAACTCACCATGGATTACTCACTATATTTTAAAAAACTCCATACTAAAACCTCAGTAAACAGTTTTCCTTTAGCTTTTTTAATCACCTACCAAGAGAAAACATAAGTACTTGTTTCATAAAGCCAGGTTTACAACAGACTTCTTGGGATTTAGTATTTTCATCATCCATTCCAACCCAAAAGTTTAAGAGGAACGAATCAGGGAATGTTTTGCTTTTAAGCCTAGGAAGAGTAAGAGATATTGTAGGAGAAACACTGAAATAACTCAGTATAAAAAAAAAAAAAAGAAGAAGAGAAAATGTAAACCTCCTTAATAAATAAATGATATGCAAGCCTTCAGGATCTGTAATGAACCAATTAATTTGATTACAACAGTAAAAAATGGAGCTCCAAAGTTTCATGAGGGAAAGATCCAGATATAATGTTTTACAGATACACATGTCACACGTACATCTAAAACATATAAACCTATAAAACAATGGGAAGAGTACTACAGAAAAATTATGTACAAAATGTCTTCTCTCCCCTGTGTACTCCTCTCCCTCCCAAACTTTTTCCAGAGGATGTCATCCACTTTGGGAAAAGTTCATGGACTCCTCAATGTGTGATTTGCCTTAATTTCATCTGCTGTTTCAAGTCATGAACCTTAGGCAGAAAGAGAGAAATGCTTTTAATTGTTTTGATGGTCTCTGAAGAACTTTCCATGTGGAAAGTGGTATAAACTGTCTGGTTCTCTTTCCTTAAGCTGCCAATTAGGACAAGTCTCTGCAAGCAATTACAGTGTGCTGTGTGAATTTCAGGAAAGTTCAAATTGAGGTGCCTCAAAAGGCTATTTCGTTCTTGTAGAGAGTGAAGAAATTGATTCAGTCTCATGTATACTGATGATCTTTCTGTTTGCCTAAAGCCATTCTGGAGTGCCTGCATTTCCATATTGTGGGTCAATTGCTAATACGAGCTCAGTGAAGTATAAAAGAGAAGAGATGAAAAATCATAAAAAAGAAAAGAGACAAAGGGTTTGCCGCCTATCAGTAAGT